GAAAATACATGGTTAACATTGCTTGTGTTGTCAGTTGTAATTGTCATTTGGTTAAATACACAGTTTGTTGCTATCGTCACACGGGCTATTTATTTATTTTTATTTTGTAACCATGTCTTTTTTAATAACTATTTTAATTTAACTAAACTACTATTAAATAAGCTACTATACTTATTTATCATTTATATTTACAACATAAAGATTGCAAAGAGCTTTCAGTCATTTGACAGATCAATTGATACACAATCCATTAACACAAAGTCTATTAATACACATTTGGTAGAAACAATTCTATCTAACGCCATTTAATTGTCGTTCTGCATCGATAGCCTAAGAAACAAGGTTTTCATCCGAAAATATGTTGTAATCTCAACAAGTTTAGTGAAAATAACTTTTTATTTTGTGCGTGGGTATAAATTAAACAATTTCAGGTTAGAATTTAATACGAAAATGCAATTTTAACATTGCATTTAACTTCCAAAAAGAAACGTCAAATCGCAACTTTAAAGTGATTTTTCGGTAAGTACTACACTTTTCCGCACTTTTTTTTTATCATTAACACATCTTTTGAGTCATTTCCTACCGATTAAAAAAAAATTCATCGATTTTTAAGAGGGACAGCTAATCTTAATATATGCCAAATTGGATAAAACATAAGAAGCAAATGCGGACATTGGGTCGTACTTGTAGTCATTTCAGCGCTGCCATTAGTCGCAAAAATTAAGAGTTTAACTGAGCCATTTGTTGATCAAATAAAGTCACCAAAAATATGCTTTTTAAAGGTGAACATGCTTGCCAGTTGGATTGTTTCAGAGGGTGTATTATTGTACACTTTTACAATTTGATAGTGAAAACTCCTCTTGAATAGTTCAGTGTGGTGAAAGGGCGGTGATAGAGTCCCCCTGAATATCAAATTCAAATTGTGAACATCAGTGCGGTACTGAATTTTGCGGCACAGATATTCAGGCTTTTCCCTCTGAACAATATTATGGTAAAAAACACAACTGTGGAGAAGTCCCCTATAAGACATATTAAGCAATTTAAGTTCCCCTAATTTATATGAAATTCTTTCAAACCTTCCAACGCCAAAAATAAATCGCAACCAATCGTTCTGTATTTAAAGTATGTAAAATCATATTTTTTTTTCGTAATTAGCTCAACACAGCAAAGTTTATATGATGAAACTGTACGTCCACTGGTGGCTTCCGTTTTAGAAGGTTATAATGGTTGCGTTTTCGCTTACGGCCAAACAGGAACTGGAAAAACTTACACAATGGAAGGAACCGATGAGGATGAAGATGATAAAGGAATAATTCCTCGTGCTTTTGAACAAATTTGGTCGCACATAAACCGAACAACCGGCGTGGAATTTCTCGTTTCCGTTCGTTACCTCGAAATTTACATGGAAGAAATTCGAGATTTATTAAAATCAAAAAATACAAAACCTTTAGAACTACGAGAAATGGCTGGACAAGGAGTTTTTGTAACGCATTTGCATTCGCAAACGTGTCAAAGCGCTGCCGATATGTTAAAAGCGATGAAAGTTGGAAATCATAACCGTACCACAGGCGCAACGAATATGAACGAGCATTCGTCGCGTTCACACGCAATTTTTCAAATTTCCATTGAGATGGCGGAAACGGAAAAAAAATCAGTGAAAGTTGGGAAATTAAATTTGGTTGATTTAGCGGGAAGCGAACGCCAATCGAAAACAGGCGCAACCGGCGATCGTTTAAAAGAAGCTAGCAAAATTAATAAAGCCCTGTCTTCTCTGGGAAACGTCATTTATGCTTTAGCAGAAAATTCGGCTCATATCCCTTACAGAGATTCAAAATTAACACGGTTATTACAAGATTCTTTAGGGGGAAACAGTAAAACGATTATGATCGCAAATATAGGCCCTGCAAGTATGAATTACGACGAAACTATAATCACTTTACGTTATGCTTATCGCGCTAAATCAATTAAAAATCAACCGGTTAAGAACGAAGACATAAAAGACGCAAAATTATTAGAGTTACAACAAGAGATTGAAAGATTGAGGCAATTAATCGCGGAAAAAAGCAACGGCAAGTTTAATTTGGAGAATATCGAGTCCGAATTAGACGACTTGAATAGCGAAGACGATAGCGAAGATGACGAATCGAAAGTGAAACAAAAAAAAGAAAAAGAAAAACAACTCGAATTAAGTAAAATGGAAATTGATGAATTAGGAAAAAAATTAAAATCCCTCGAAAAACAGATGGTCCATGGTGGAAAAAATATTATCGATAGTGTTAACGAGAATGAAGTTAGGTTAGAACAACAAAGAGCTGAAATTGCAGCTAGAAAGGTAAAAAAACCTACCTATGTGAAGTTACTCATAAATTCCATTCATAAAAAAAATTTTTTGTTTGTGTATATCGATTTTAATGATTAATAGCTCATTAGAAAGATCTTGTAGAGTAGAGCCTAACATCTTTTGGGTGGGAACACCAAAAACAGTGAAATACATAAAAAATTCTCTAACTTTATAGTCCGAAAAATTTAAAACTATAATATCAGGTATAATTACTAAATCAAAATGCGTATACTGTCTTCTACACAAAATTGTATTTTCGTCGTCGCTAAATTATATTGGTAATTAGAAAAGTGTAACAATACACGAACCTGTTTCCACACGTACATGGCGCTTTGAAAAGCAAAATTATATTAATGTGTGATACCTTTTTGGAAAGGGTTCCTCCTGTAGATCATGTCATAGTAATGGCGGCACGAAATTCTAACAATAACGGTATTTAAATGATTAAAAACGTCATATCCATATACAAATATACAGCCTGATTCAGAGTAAGCGCCTTATTTTTTTTTTAGCCACACTATGGGTACTACTTTCAAAATATTTGGCAGTAATATGTTTTAGGACACTCTCTACACGATGGTGATATCAATGGAATGCCAAAATTTTTTTTTTATTATTGAGATCTTAAAAGCATTCTTTTTACGACAGTATTTTGTTTTTCTTAAAAATTCATTTCTTTCCCCATCCAAAAGGAACCTAATATTTTAATCTATACTCTGTTTTTAAACCAGGAGGAGTATTTTAAATTTGTCACCAGATTGACCTTGCACGTGATTGGTTGAATGCGAGGAAGGTTCACACACAGGCAATTTTGAATTTGAAGGTTAGGTAATTGATAATTCGACAGTTTCGTGTCATTATTGTATATTTTGTGTTCTTAAACCCTTTTTTATTATATTTTGAAATAAATACACTCATAACTTCAATGTTAATTTGTATGTATAGTGTTGACGATAACAAACGAAAATAAATACAATAATAAGTAAATAAATAAATAATAATTATTAATTTAAATTTACCGCCAAAATATCTAGTGATATTTTCTGGTGATTTTTTCCAGTGTAAATCTGACTTTCGCGTTTACTCCTCCTGGTTTAAAAACAGAGTATAGTTCTAGTGCAAGTGTTAGTTCTAGTTTTAATTGTTATTCAGCGCTAAGTTGTATATTTTTAAGTTTCGGGTTTAGCCCTGTGTCTTCAGACGCTGAATGTTAGGTAAGGTTAGTTTTGTTTACAAA